TAGCTACTTGCCTCATAACTACCTCACCACACCAACACAACCCTCTCTGAAAACACACAAACTCTTAACTCCACTTCTAACTACTACTTCCAACACCTTACATCCTCAACTTCTAAAAACACAACTACACACAGTACGCATCTTGACTTTTTCCACAACAACTACAAATAACACACATTTCTTCTAAACACACAGCTGCACCTAAACTACACATTCCACCAATGCCACCAACACCACTAACGCTCCACTGCCACAGCTGCATACTGCCACCCCTACATTACACATCCTGTAGCCACACAACAACGGGGCTTCTACTTAAACATAACCTGCATGTTTCTACTACACCACACTAACCACATTAGGCTAACAACAACACCTTGCTCACAACCCTCTCTAACACAACTCCTCACTCTACTTACCAACCTCACATGCTTCTCACCTCAAACACAGCCCAATACACACTTCATACCTTCACTCTCTCCCCCACTACCACATCTCACTCACATCAAAACCTCTAGCACCACTAAACACACCACTCCGTTGTCCACCACTTTCACCTTCACAGCTACACATTCCTTCTACTCCCTTTCCTACTGCCTCCTACACAACACCCTACCACCTACCCTCACTAGCCAAGCTCTTCACTCCTTTCAAAAACACCTCACTCCTTACATTCTCTACTTCCCTTATTTCCTTACTCTCTCTCTACTTCTAAACTTTTTCTAACCTCTACTTTCCCATTACTCAACACAACACACTCTCCCACTTCAGCTGCTACAACCCCAACACCCATGTCAATCCTCACACATCACATTCACTACTACGCACACGTTCTGCTCTTCCCCCGTCTCCTAAAAACCACACTACAACCACCTAGCACATGCATCAACACAACGACTCCTTTCACACACCTTCACTTGCTCACTACTACCCTTTTCAACTACAACACAACACTGACCCAAACATTCCACTTCTTCTGCCAACACCCTCTCTGAAAACACTACACCTTTACTCCGCTATCACTTACAACTGACCTTTCCTATTGTACTACACCACACACACACACACACACTTGACCTCTCTTTACCTGCTTCTACTACATAACATACATATCAAGATCCACAGTGACAAAGAACAAAGCTAATATTTACCTAATGCCCAAATACCTTCTACTCCTGACCTACTGCCTCATTAACACCACTACAAC